TTAACGTTATTAGTAACCTCCCCCTCAAGCAACAATATTAATTTAATAGAATTCTAAATGGAATGACAATTTTCATAATACTTACGATTATATCGCACGTTCGACTGTTAAACATTGGTGATGTCAAATTGGTGGTCCATTAATTTGTATATAATACAATCCATCAGTATTTTTCTTTACTTTAGTTAAATCTTCTACATTAATTAAAAAAGTGTCAATTCAAACTAAGCTATATTACGCAATAGCTTGCGGTACTGACGCCGATCCTTTCTTGACACTTTGATAAGAATTTCACCCGTCAAAGTATTCAATGACAGATGTCAAAAATGAACGAGTAAAGCTATTGAACATTTCAGGAACGGTTAAGAATATTTAAAAATCATTCTCCAAGTTTGTTAATAAAGAAAGAATAACACTGTATATCGTACAATATAAACAGGCGTCAATAAATTCGTAAAATTTGTCACCGAGTTTAACAGACGAACATATAACTATACAATTAATTTATTACACGACTTTGGTAAAAACAAATACAGTCAATAATATTAAAAGAATATATGTTTTAGCTGACAGAAATTTCACAGCAATTTTGAACACACAGATGGAAAAAATCATAATGCTTTTTCGACCAGCATACTTTTAGACTGATTTAATTTATAATAAATACTACGAGATACAAATTTCGTTTCTTAAATATAACGAACAAACAGCTTCTAGCAATTATTGCGTTTTAACATGTTGCAGGGTTATATAATAAGGTTATTATGACAGCGGTAGAAATTATTTTAGGTTAGGTTAGATAAGGTTATGTTAGGTTAATAAGTATATTATATTAATGTAGATATTCTAAAGTCTGTAAAAAGTATGGCTGCTATACGCAAACATGTCACTGTGAATAGTTTTAAACATATAACTTCCGTTCGATTGATAACAAATACAAAGTTCAATTTTAAGTGATTTAATTTGAATGAATTTCCAGTCATACTGGATCACGTGATTGGGCATATTGCTGAAGAAAACATTATTAAGTTAAGTTGGCTTATGTAACTTTTAGATTGTGTTAGATTATTTTTCTTCAACGTTTCAATGAATCAGTCTGAAAGAGGCAAGTCGTGAAAGCAATTCGTACATTTACACTGTAAAAATTAACTTCTGTGGGTTTCCAAAAGTCGTAAAAGTATAAAACAACCACAACAATAATACGATTCGCAAATACATATAAAATAACACCACTTTTGGCTATTTTTATGCGAAATACAACAAATTACTAATAAATACTCGTATCGTAACAAAGTTTTATCAAAAATATATAATTCGAGTAAACAAAAAATCTCATCGAAAACAATACAACAATAAACAACTCCTATAAACCTCTATGTGAGTTTAAAATATTTTCAGACTTCAATTTTCATATCAAATATGTATAGGACTAACACTTAATCAAGTCTAAGTGTCTACTTAGACAAGCTTTTGTGGCGGATACCAAATGGAGACACAATGAAGTCGAGAGGTACACTCAAGTGCTACAATAAGTAGCTATATCCGCAGGCGTCATTTTTAATTTATTCAGTTGCTTTGTTGTCGTTCAGAATAATAAGATAACGGAGTGAAGCACATTCGTTAGCTTGGGAGTATGTATATACAAAAGTAATAATAGTGTATATAAAAAGTAGCTGACGTTCTTATTGGTAATTTTTGCGAAAAAATAGATTTAGAACGGAATATTTTTGTGAATTTAAAATATGCTCCCATCGTTGATATGGAAAGAAGTTTCTCAATTTACAAATATAGTAGTCCTTTATCCTTATCTAATACTCTTTATAACGAATCCCTATATAACGATGAAAATAGTAAACATAAAGATGATGTATTAATTCTTTCTCTATACCGACATCGTTCTCTCTTTATAGCGATGATTTTCAGCGTTCAATAGTCAATGACAAATGTGTTATTGTGTTCAAAGTTTAAAATTCAGACTAGCTGAGTCACGAGTGGCAAGGTGATTGTCCAGCGGTTGTTTTGTTTTGCGCTTAAGGAATGCGCCCATCCATTCTACTCATTCTTATCAGAGGGTTAAGTGACTCTCTTTTATTGCTCGGGTGGCCTTCCTAATTGTTATCACACAGATGTTATCTATTGACGACTTTTTATTTCTAGTTTGAGTTGTGTCTCAGTGTGTCAACAGTCAACATGTTTTTGAAAAAGCGTTAAGTGCTCCCGGTGGAGGAAAAGTTATCGATAACTCGAGCAATAGAGAAAGGAGAAAAGCAATCGGATGTCGTTCGTCGTACGAGGCTGTCTCAGGCAACTATGGCTACGATATGGAAGGACAGAAAAAAATGGCTTGAAGCGGAGATGGAGGGCGGTAGCAGGAAGAAGTTGCGGAAACCTCAACACAAAGATTTAGATCGCGCTATGCTTCAGTGGTTCCAGGAGCAGCGTATGAACCATATTCCACCTTCTGGGCCTGCGGTCAGGACAAAAGCTTGGGTTTTTTGTAACTGAGCTTGAAATTGAGGGTTATGGAGCAAGTGGAAGCTGCGGCACAAGATCAACTGCGGGCAAGTCAGCGGAGAGGCTTGCGATGTTAACAAAAATGTAACGGATGATTGGCTAGAAAACGTGTGACCTGGACTGAAGGCACAATATGCGTTAGACGACATTTTCAATGCTGATGAGACTGGATAGTTTTTTAAAATGACACCAAACAGAACTTTAAAATTTAAATCGGAAAGACAAGTCTATTCATTACCATCGAGACCAAAGTCTATTGATTTCAATATCTGGTTCCTTCGACTGTAGTTCCTTGAAGATATCTTTCAATGACTAACTGTGGATGGCCGCAGTTCGGCGACACGATACTGGCTTCGGAAGGCACGTAAAGCCGGAAGATTTTCTTCTTTTCTCATATTTTTATGAAATTTTAAGTGGCGAATTTTAGTTTTGTAGTTTATTTTAACCCCTTCTTCAATTGTTTTTATGAATAAATATGTTACGTTCAAGAATTTTGTCTGACTTTCACCTTAGTGTTTTGATATACACCATGCACCAGGTTCATTTTTTGGGGGAGAGTTTTGGGATACCTAGGATGTCACGGAGCTTTTTCTGAAGCTCAACGTGATTGATGGGGTTCAGGGTTCTAAGGTATACAATTTGAGTGGCAAGGGCCACTTTTGGAGCTTTTGAGTGGCAAGGATTTTGTAGACGAAGCCATATATTCCAGATAGTTAATATGTTCCTAAAACGCATCATGAGAGATGTGATAGTGTATTATTACACAGGTTACTTCTATAACCTTGGTTTCTTATCAATCTCATGGAAAATTATTCTTTTACCGATAATTCCTCCCAACGTAGATAAATGGGAATTACAGTATTGTACGAATTAATGTGAACAAACAGAATTAATTTGTAAATATGATTTATTTAGGCCAAAGGTAAATATAGGTACACTTATATGAGATGTTTTCATTAATTAGTATTTAATATGTCCCCCTTTTTCTTTTATGGCTTCCTGGAGTCTTCTAGGCATGGAATCCACAAGTTTTTTGCAATTATTTGTGATTACTTCATCTCTAAACCACACCTTAATCACTGCTTCCACCAATTTTGTTTTTGTCGTACAGTAAATTTTTTGCAGTTTAGCCAAATTTTGAATAGGATTAAGGTCAGGTGAATTCCCAGGCCAATCAAGTAGAGTAATATTATTATCTTTGAAGTATTTCATCATAACCTTCGATACATGGCACGGAGCTGAACCTTGTTGAAAAATTGCAGTCCCTTCGGCCTGTACTTTGTCAAGCTCTATAGCTAAGCGTTGCCCTAGCATGGCCTTGTACTTTTCACTGTTCATCATACCTTCAATAGGAATAATAGTGCCAGTTCCTGAGTATGAAAAACAGCCCCAGTACATTTTTTGGTGGGATGTTTAACTGTTTGGTTAATATGGCTAGCTGAAAGTGACTCATTGACAGCCTTTCGTACGAATTTTGATCGCTGGCCCTGCACTAGGAAGTGGGTCTTATCAGAAAATAACACTTTTCTCCAATCTTCTGGATTTTCAATATTTTTTTTGATCAATTTAGTCTTTTTTCATCATAGACGCTATCAGAAGTTGTTTCTTCTGCGGTCTCACGGCTCTTCTCCCTCCTTCTAAGAGACGTCTGCACACCGTTGAGTCGTGAATTTTTATTCCAGCCTTTTCTAAATCTTGTTGCAGGTCATAACTTGTTTTTCTGGGATGAAGTTTGCTATCGCGCAAAAGAAAGGCTTCTTCTCGAGGAGTAGTCTTCCGTTTTCTTCCACATTTTTCTTTCCTCTGCACTTCAACTGACCCTGTTTCCTTTTTTTGTTTAATTATTTTGTTTACTGCACCCAAACTTACACAACACTCCTTTGCAATGTCCCTCGGAGTCATTGGTGTATGCTCACTAAGCGTTATGATCCCTTCTCTTTTTCTAGGAGTGATATCTATATTAAAAAGTTAAACCTGATTGCACAGTAAATCAATGAAAATAACACCAACTTGCACATAACCTGAGATACAACAAAGCACGTGTTTTGAACAATATACTAATAAGGTTTTGAGGTTATGTTGTTTTTTGACAAAACAGTTGACAGAATAGGCACAGCAGGTGTGCCAACTTATTAAAGCTGAATTTCGATCTCTGTTCACATTAATTCGCACAATACTGTACTTATGCTTGTTATAGTACATATACCATTTATTTTGATATGTGGCGGTCCACGACACTAAAGTATCTCCATACGGTACCAACACAAAAATACTTACTTCCACCATCGTCAATCAATTAAAATACCACAATATATACTTCAAAACTAATAAATATATTGCTTAAGAATACAAACAGATCTAGATCTTCAAATCGAATATCTATACTAGATCTTAAATAAAAAAAAAATCGATAAAAACTTATTGGCATATCAACCCACAGAAACGCGCGATATTTTTTACATTGTAAACACACATTCTTATCTAATTTAAAGGTTTCTTAAATGGCGAGTCCTTCGAACCAGTATACAGCTTGATGTCAAGCCACAAGACCGCAGAGCGAGTTGTGACATATTAAGACATCGTCTAGGGTAGTCTATTTTTTCACCGAAAACCTAGAAGTGTCAGATAGACAATATTAGTCATTAAAATAAAAAAGCGGTTATCAATAGAGTAAATTAATCTAAATCATGTCATTTATCACATTATTGCATACACTTCCAGACCTGTACGATTTCCAGATCAGACAGTAGATGCTATGTGACGCACCCGGGAGGGGGGGGGAGAACGTTAAACCCCTTCCCCCAGGCCATATAAAGTAAAAAATATACAAAGAATAGTGGGAAAATGTAACTTGTCTTTTACACACAATATAAAAAACCTAAAACAATTAAATTACCACTTTAAACTTTTTCTTTCTCTTTACCACATTTGTTATTACATTTCAATACAGTATAAAAAACAGCTATTAAAAAAAGAAGAAAGGGAAAGATCAATGAAAAGATGGCAAGAAGAGTGGAACAACTTTAAATTAAACCCCAAATAATTTTAAGGACTCAAAATGGAGGTAACATAAAAAATTTCAAACCCCCCCCCCCTCAGACAAATTCTGGGTGCGTCACTGAGTAGAGGAATATTATTTATAATTTCGGCGTGAATAACGCAAACACTGGTGATACGTCATCATTTCACTGGAATTGTCTAGAACATATTCTGTGTCCTTATTTGGTGGGGAAGAATGGAAACCTCTAATGTAAATTTGTATTGGAATTTTTTACTAAGTTTTTTTATTGCGTTAATGTCAGTTAACGATTCTACATGCTTCAAAATCCTAATTAACCTAAACTTTATTGCCTTTTAAAAGTAAATACGGACATAGTGAGGCTTTTGAAGCATGTAGAATGGATAATTAATTATAACCCAACAAAAAACACAATTTTAGGAAAAATTGAAATAGGATGTTTCCATTTTTCGCCATTAATAGCTTCTTTTTTCGAGATAAGATTCCTTTAACATCACAAAATCGACTCACAAAAACATGGCAGAAGAAATGCTTCCTTCTCTTATCAGAAAAATGTCATTTTTGTAACTCAAAACAAAAAAACTAAAATTTAGGTCTGGGTTTCAAATAATCTAAGATTCTTTAGACGAAACAATATATAATGGAGTAAGTAATCTATTGATAGCAGCAAAAAAGAGTTATAAAACGAATAAAACTACTATTAAAAACAGCAAAAAACCGCAACTTACCTTCACCGATTGAGGTATTTCTTCAACACTCCTATGCACCAATGTATTGTTTAAATATAAAACATTTGCTGCCTCATCTTCGGGCAACGTAATAATACCATAACTGAATGTAGCTTCTCTTTCCATCCTCTTCAAAACCTCTTGCGCTTCCTTACTTGAACCTACACACAGCAGATCGGGTCCACCCATTGTGATGAACGATTTCAAGTGTTTGGCATCCGGAACCTAAAACAATTTAGTTTAAGTCTTTATGATCCACAATTAACCAGTTACTATTCGGAGCAATTTTGGAGTAATGCAATATTAATACTTATAAAAATCAATCTATAACGAATCTATACCATATGTTATATCAACCAAAATATAAATTATTAAAAAAAGTGGTACAGTAGGATGTACTGTAACACTTTTACCAAAAATTATTATTTTTCCTGCAACAGTCGTCTCATGAACGTGATTTATATAGTTTATCAGAACAATTACATCTTTATTTTATTGTTTTATATTTCTGCTTAATGTTTTATGTATTTCTCACTCTATATATCGTACATCTAGTTCAATACTGCCACAACTCCAAAAATTCCAATTTTGAGTAAGGCTTTAAAAAGGTTGCATATATGATACCTCATCTAATGCAATACAACCTTAACTGAAATATTGTCTTGGATAAGTATAAAGTAAGATATTTCGGTATTACACTGTAGGGTTTTGAAATGCAAGATGGCCATAACTAGGAGATGTGGCGATAATACACTCCGCCACAATACAACCGATGTAATTCAATACGGCCACGACTGCAAAAATTGTTAGATTAGTGGTACGATTTTATCAGTTCTCAATTATTTATGCACGAGGTATCCACGTTTTTAGTGTACAACTATTTGATTTAAAGTCTGAAAACAGTGTATAGTGTATAGTGATATTATTATTAACTTTATTATCAAACACAATGTCAAGGGCAAGAAAAATGCTTGGACTAGCTTTGCAAAGCTATCTTAAAGATGATGAGAATCTGAGAGACAATTCAGAGGTTTCTGAGGTTATGAATGACATCTCCTTTGTGTTGACGGAGGTTTGTATTTCAACAAAAATCACAGTGAGGTTTTACTTAATGTAAAATCTACATACAGACCCTCGCCAAGATGATTACATAGAGCAGGTATATTTTTATGAAACGAGAAAAGGTTACTGGTTACGGTGAAAAATAAAATAAGAGAACACATAAATTCTTTCCAAAGGGTAGAATCACATTATCTTAGAGCACAAACTACAAAGGAATACATAGATGGTTCACTTACTTTAGCTCAAATGTATCGCTACTACAAACTACAGGAAGAGAGTGAAGGAAGGCCTGTGGCTAAAAAATGCACTTACGAGCATATTTTCAAAACAGAGTTTAACATAACTTTCTTTCAGCCAAAAAAAGATCAGTGCCCAATTTGTGAATCATATAAAAATTCTTCTGCTGAACAGCAAGCTACTCTTCATCAAACTTATAATAAACATATCCATTATAAAATTAGAAGCAGAGAAGAAAAAGCCCAAGATCTAGCAAGAGCAAAAGATGATTCTCAAGTATTGGTAGCTTGTTTTGATTTGCAGGCGATCCTTCCTACATCTTGTGGAGATGTTTCAAGCTTCTACTATAAATGCCACCTGAACTGCTTCAACTTTACAATTTTTCAGATATTGCAAAGACTGGTAACTGTTACTTTTGGCACGAGGCTATTGCTAACGAAATAGCTACGTGTCTGTTTGATTATCTTTCAAATCATTGTAATGATAAAGACAAAGCAATTATCCTTCGAGAAAAAGGTTACACATACCAAGAAATCGCGTACAATGGTTATTATCAAGAAATAATTTTCTTGATAATAACCATTGTACCATTCTTTTTAATATATCTACTAATAGCTAACGGCTACTGTATTATTTATTTTTAAATTTTAGAGAGTTTTTCCACTTAAAATAGATGTTAAATATTAAGTAGAAGCATAAAACGATAAAATTGTAGATAAATTTATAAAAGCCTTGTGAAAAAGTGGAATGCTGATAACAAAACCAAAAATTTTGTAAAGTTTCCAGAATTTTGGTCACTTGTGTAGACTAGAATAGTAAAATAGTATAGTAGCCTCGTATTTCCGTGATACTGTGTAAAAATATATGTATCTGTAATAAAATCATTCCATAAAAAAGTACTCTACCAGGAGTCTGTAAAATTATAAATGACTCAAACGTATAATAATACAAAGTTTTAAGATTCCACTCGATATTAACATATAGACGTGCCTGGTATGTTTTAAAATATGGGCAGTCAACCAATTAAGTTTTCATCGAACTTATAATAAGTCCACGTGGACAATGAAAACATCGGATATCGCTGTTAGGACAAATCATAATGCATTATCTTTTGTCGGTAGACTTATTCATACTTGGGGTAAGATTATATCAGTATTTGACTGAGCTTACGGAATCATGAAATAAGGTATCAGGTTTTGACCGTCCAGTGTCGAAGGGACGGGGAACACTTAGGTAGGCAAATTTTTATAATATTTTTTTTTTTAAATTGCCGATATGACCAACAGATTTTTGGGAGACAAGAATATTTTTAGTATAATCATAACTGCGACAGGGTTCAGTTAAATTCAAATTTCAAATAGTGAACCGCAAGTTAGTTTGGTAGTGAATTTTTTCAGTGTTCTTTTTACGGAAAACTTTTTACATTTTTTGATACGTTTTTACGTGATTATGTTTTCATACGTTTGATACTTTTAAAATATTGCGTCCGTGGTGCGATAATAATTCTGTAGCTGAAGAGACAATGGAACCCTCTAATCAATTGGGAGATTTACAAAGGCATGTAGTAAAACGTAAGCGACATTTTCAATACCTTTCTGATGATGCCACACGTATGCTAAAAAATGTTTATGAAGGACTGTGTACTGAATTGCCGAAATCAGAGACAATTGCAGAAACATGTTTTTTAACCAGAGTGACCAAAGCAACCTGCTACAAAATTATAGAAGAAACATCTTCTTCTAGACAGAAGAGAAATGATTGTGGCAAATTCAGAAAAATAGAACCGCACTTAATTTAATCTATAACTAAAACAATATACCAAATGTATGCGGCTAATATTTTTCCAACTATTGAAAGCCTTCGAAGTGAATTAGTTCGAAAGGGCATTCTCTCGTGTTCAGCAACAATACTTCGATTATTTCTTAAAGCCAATAATTTTAAGTACAAAACTATAGACAAGCGACAGACACTAATGGAAAGTACAAGAATAATTTCTTTAAGAAACAATTATATCAGACAGATAACTGAGTATCGAAAAATGAAACAAAATATTGTTTATTTAGACGAGACCTGGTATGATACTCATGACACCGTGAAAAAAAGTTGGACAAGTAATAACAAAAGTGTTTCAACTCAGTACCGCCCAATAAATGAGAGAGGATTATAATTTTACACTGCGTTAGAGAAAATGGATTATCATGACGATATGGAAAGTTCAGTTTTTGAATCATGGTTTGAAAAATCTCTTCTTCCGAAATTACCTAAACATAGTGTGATTGTCATGGACAACGCATCATATCATTCAAGATTAATGAAAAAAAACTCCAAATAATAGTTGGAATAAATTACATATTCAGGAATTTTTATTCATGGAAGATTTGTATTTTGAGGCAATTGTTGGAGGTTGCTCATAGTAAACAGTACGAAAAGGAATATGTTGTTGACAACTGTGCTCGTAGTAACAGGCATACTGTGCTTAGACTTCCTCCTTATTATTGTATATTGTACCCAATAGAGTTAATATGGGCTCAACTTAAAGTAAATAAAAGGAGAAGAAACTTTGCTCCTAAATGTTCGTCTATTGTTCTCCAGTTAATTAGAAGAGAAGTCACAAAAATCACAGCAACCAACTGGAAAAATGTACAATAAAAGTAAAAACTTTTATTGAATTTAAAATTAGATATACTCCATTCCTCGAATATACGACTGTTTTAAATTCGGTTTAAGGTCTCTATTAGAATGGTCCAATGTGCTGAATTGTACAATAGTAAATTCTCCCTATTTTTAAAATACTGTTATGACTTAAAATTTAAATATGAAGTCATGATATAAATATAGAGTTGATAGTTTATAGAATAGTTATATTTCAGTTTTGAAGTATATAATTACTATCATTGATTTTAGTAATGTAAACAAGTTGGTTTTTGAATTAAGTGATTTAAACGAAGTGTAACAATACTTAGGTGATTAAATAGTGTAATTGATTTAGTCGAATATTCAATTAGTATTAAGAAACCAAAAAAACTTACTTATTTTCTTATTCTCCTAATCTCCTAAAACTATCATCAACCATCAGATTCACAGAACTTCGCCATAGGAAAGTACATTAAATATAAAGTTGTCTACATCTAAAACACGTCTCGGCGTTTTTGGCTTCAATAAACAAATACACTAAACTATCTCTTAACGGCACCTCTCTTTACCGGACACCTTTATACGAGACGACACTATAAGGCGCTCCCTAACTTTCGCGTGATTGGTTGGTGGGTGGGTTCCAATTTAAAAAATTGGCGGGTTTCATGTTTATTAAAATGACAATTATTGAGGTATTGTGGCACAGTATGTCGGCAAACAATTTATTAGAAATATATTGTGGTATTGGTACAAAGCGGATGATATTCACATGTTAGGATTAGGCTGACTAGTACAGTTTTATTAGAAATTAAAATGCTAGTGATGCTTTTTTTTATTAGATATATAGATATTGTTTTAATTTTTTTGTTTAGGTAATTTTTTACTAAGATTTAGACGTTCCTCTTATTATTTTTATTTCTAGAACATTCATTACCATTATTATTCTCATTAGCTTTCTCTATGTGGAATCGGCTTCTCTAAGTATTTTCCTCTAAATTTTTCTGTTCTCTTCCAGGGACTAAGTACCTCTTCGCTTTTTGTATGGGTATATGGATTTTCAGAAACATGTAATTTCTGATCATCCCATTTTTTACTGCCCTACATTCAGTACCATACATCATAGCTGGTCTAAAGGCAGTCCTATACAATTTACCTTTTAGTTTTCTTGGTACCTTTTTTATCACACATCAGTCAGTTTGCCTCTTTCCTTTAACTTTAATTAAAATATTAGAGATAAAACGGTAATACCGATCCTAAAAGTCAAACATTACCATCTTTTATGAGTTCTTGTCTATCCAAGCCAACTACTCTATCTGGTCTTGAAATTTCATCTTTAAAAGAATATTCTAAATATTTTGTTTGTATCCAACTTAATTTTAATCATTTTTCTTCAATGACCTGTCTCCTCTACTCTTTTATACTAATACCCAGGAGATTAGTTGTTATCTAATCCAGCACAAATGAGAATAAATATGGGCGAAACCCTGATTTTCACTCATTTTCACACAAAATTTGCCAGTTTCACTTGTAATCGTTTTAACGCTATAATAGTTGTTCTAACACTATTAAAATTGTTACAGACACAGTAGGTTTCTGATATCTTCATCATGTGCTTTCTCAAGTTTAATAATACTATGTAAATTCACTCTAAATTGTTAAATTAGCTCTTTTAATAAAAATTGCTGTTCTGATCCATTAATAATCCAAATTGACATTAATCCATTTTCATTTTTTAGAACCTTACACTGAATTCTGTTAGATAATGTAGGATAATAAAAAGATATATTGTGAATTGAGTGCTATGAAAAATTATCATTGTCAACAAAATGAAGCAGAGGTTTACTGGAAATAACTATTGCAAACCAAATAAAACACTAAATAGCTATGTCTAAAATGTTTTTATTCTTTATTAAAAATCTGGGAAATCAAAGGAGGGGGAGACCGTTATTTGTGCAATGGCGAAGGAAAACCCCTCTAAATCTCGCCTAGGGCCCAGTACATCCCGATTTAAAAATACAATTCTAATATAAAAGTCTACAAATAGCTTTATAACATCATTACTTAATACAGCTTTAAAATTCAGGCCTAAGCTAAGCATTATATACATATATATATATATATATATATATATATATATATATATATATATATATATATATATATATATATATATATATACATATATATATATATATATATATATATATATATATATATACATATATATATATATATATATACACATATATATATATATATATATATATATATATATATATATATATATATTATAAAATAAAGTAAACATATAACAATGTTAAATTAACTTTCTTGTAAATAAGCATATAAAACTATAATAAAAATTCTACTATAATAAAAACTATAATAAAAAGGTAAAGGAAAGAGGCAAATTGACTGATGTGTGATAAAAAAGGTACCAAGAAAACTAAAAGGTAAATTGTATAGGACTGCCTTTAGACCAGCTATGATGTATGGTACTGAATGTAGGGCAGTAAAAAAGGGGATGATCAGAAATTACATGTTTCTGAAAATCCATATGCTCATACAAAAAGCGGAGAGGTACTTAGTCCCTGGAAGAGAACAGAAAAATTTAGAGGAAAATACTTAGAGAAGCCGATTCCACATAGAGAAAGCTAATGAGAATAATAATGGTAATGAATGTTCTAGAAATAAAAATAATAAGAGGAACCTCTAAATCTTAGTAAAAAATTACCTAAACAAAAAAATTAAAACAATATCTATATATCTAATAAAAAAAGCATCACTAGCATTTTAATTTCTAATAAAACTGTACTACTTAGCTTAATCCTAAAATGTGAATATCATCCGCTTTGTACCAATATCACAATATATTGCTAATAAATTGTTTACCGACATACTGTGCAACAATACCTCAATTGTCATTTTAATAAACATGAAACCCGCCAATTTTTAAATTGGGACCCACCCACCAACCAATCACGCGAAAGTTAGGGAGCGCCTTATAGTGTCGTCTCCTCTATACGGACAGTTTTTAAAACTAAAATCAGTCATATGAAACTGTATATAAATGTTCGTTACTTTTTAATAACTGTAACGACTCGGTACTTCAACTATCAATAGCCGGTATGTTGTACCCGTTACTTTCGGAACTTTAGGTGTACATCCACTCAAATCAAACAAATATTTAAAACTAACAAAGTAAAATTATAGATCTTTTTTCTAGTTTCCAAACCATCGTTCTGCCAATTTGTGTTCATTTATATTAAAAGTATATTTCTTTTTATTACAGTTTTAATACCTAATAAAGTAATAAAAAGTGTAAAATCAAAGAAACCCGGCACGCCTCTTTGGTGTTTACATTTCACAGAAACCTAACCCAAATGTCGTATGAACACATTTTGGCTTCATAGAACTCATTGTAATTATTTGTAGTACCGTTCGCGTAAAAATTTTTGTTATTTTCGGATTAAATTTCACAATAAATTTTGCATCTGAACATCTCGTATATTAACTGAAATAATTTTAGTGTAAGTATCAAACTAACAGTAAATCCATTTTATTGGAATACTGTTTAGACCAATTTACTTTCATACTTCTACTTGCACAGTAAAATATTCGTTGTCGTAATAATCCAAAACAGTCGTATATTCGTGGAATAACCTATATCTACGCTACTGTTCAATAAAGTAGTGCTCGCTCTAACAGTGTTGCCATTTTACTAGTTTTTACTCGCTCTGGTTCCTATAAATTGTCTCACGAAATTACGTGCCAACTAAACATATTTTATAATTTGTAAAAATTATTTAATACAAGTAGCGCTACATCACTAACTCTCACAAAAAAATCTGTACGCCATTGGAAGACCAAGAATAACATCACCATTTCCTGGAATTTAATGTCTACATTTTTGATACCTAAGTTTCAAAATATGGTTTTCATTATTTTTTTCGTGACATAAAAGGAATTTTGGAGCTGTTTCCTTTGAGAAGTACGCAACGTACTCAATAGCGTCCAACTCTAATCCATTTTGGATTTGATTCCGTATATGACAAACTATCATTAAAAACCAATTTTCACATAAATCAAACTATATAATGAACACACTTAAAACTCGTTTATAACGATAAGAACTAAAATAGTATTAAAGCATGTAAAAATATATTTTTTTAAAATAATGTTACCTTTATAGGTGTGCACGGATACTCTGGAAAGGCGGCTGCTACAGCTCTGGCACCTGCTTCGTTCGTGGATTGAGATATGCCGACAAAAAACTCTCGACCTACACAAATTTTAGTTTTTAGTCTTTTAAGACAAGTTGTTATAAGGTGTTAAAGTTTTAACATATCACCAATACTCCCTCATTATTTTGTTACAATTATTAATAAAATACGAAAATATATTCTATGTACGATTCACCAAAAAAATATTAGGATTAGCGCGCTTCCTAACGGGTCATTTACATAACATCTAACCCGGATATGTCGATCGTTAGGAAGAAAAGGGTTACATCTCAAAAATGTTCATTTCTCACTTTATTTCATTAAACTGTCTAAAAAAGTGCCTACTACTTACTAGGAACGGATTAAGTTTCGAGAGAATATTTACTACCAGCCAAAAGATGTCAGCATAACACAGGGATTTTTGCATTTTTCACAGAATATTTTCTACAAAATCGTTATATCTCAATTTGTCACCCATATTGTGGTGTGGTAGTTAAAAAATTTAGGAGAAAAAGGTTACATTCGATATTGTTGCAAAAAGTAAGTAGTAAATACATGTAAATTTTACAACAAAACAGATACATCTCAGAATGTTACAATCTTGGATTAAATTAACTGTTTTACGTTTGTAACAATGCCGCAACATTTTGTTTTGTAACAGTTTTGAACCAACTTGTACAGTAAATTTATTCACATACTATGTCTTATGTCAAAATGTAGCGTTTTTCTTGATTAATTTTTTAATAATTACTGTAAAATAACGACATGTTACACGTTTGAATCAACTTTTGTGTTAAGTTTATTCACAGTCTTTGGTTAATGTCATAATGTATCACTTTTCTTAATACTTTTTGTAATTTTTTACGATAATATATTAGACCTTCAAATATTTACGTGCTCGAAAAAAATATTAAATACCTGGTTTTGTTGCAAATCCAGATATAATATGATTTAAAAATTGTTTGTGTGTCCCCATTAAAAGTTCGATTAATTATAAAAAAAAATCTGTGACGGTTTTTTTTGACTAAATTAACCAGTTTAGTTAACAAAGGAGTTTTGAACACAGTTTCCAAGGGTGTTGCATTATTGACCTAATGATTTTTTAAATTTTGGTCTAACAAACGACAATGTTTGTTGCCAAATTAAGGATTTTTAGCGAACTTATTTAATTTCTATTATCACGTAGTCTTAAATATGGCATACACAAACCGAACCCAAAGGATACTTGCCGGGTGTCGTTCTGATTTACTATAAGATTAGGAAACGGATGTCTCCCAATATGGGATCAAAGAAATTGATCCGTTAAAGTTCAGTAACAATTTCTCGGCCAATACTGATTCTAACAGTCAGAAATTATCAAGTAAAATTACATTATTACATTATATTTCCTTATTGACTTATTTTACTTTGAAGACATACCAGAAATAATGCACTATGAGATCGAAGAACTTGATATATTGAAAAGTAGTGAAAATCGCATCGTCAATAAAGATGCTATTCTTTCAAAGAAAAAAGAGCAAGAAACTTTACATATTCCAATCGTGTCTAATGCAAACCAGAATGTTACAGATAAATTGAAGTTTTGAAGTGATATTTTTTCTATTAACTTAATTTTGGTTTTAGATGTCCAGAATTTGGTTATAGAAAAAACACAAAATTATTAATTTGCTTCATCTACTAGCAGTTCATCTTCGTCATCGAACTCTTCGTCAAGTTCTTCAACAAGTAGTAGTGGCTCATTGATTATTAAAATGAACCGTTTGGATCTGACGACGGTGTTAAGAATCCATACTATATTAAATCGTAATCAGATTCTGATAATATTGGTTCAAGTAGAGAAGTAGAAAAAATTAAGTTGTCAAAAAACAGAAAATTACTTGATCCGTATAAAACAGAAAAAAAAACGATTAAGAAATTAGGGCTTATGGCAAAAATATATAGCAAAACAGTTGAGAAATAGTGACAAAAGTTATGTTGGCTTAAAATAAATTATACAGAAAATCAAGCCGTATTTACGTTCCCGATCAGTATGCTTGCATTATGAGATCAGCAACAAAAACTGGAAAAACATACAAAGTAAACGAACTTTGTTTTAAGGACATTATGGATTTAAAAACATTAACTTCTGACTTGTTTGTGAATATCCCTAAAAATGTAAAAACTGCGTCATTTAGAGTAATCAAATTAGAAAACAAAATCCAAACAAATTATTTCATAAAAATTCTTTTGAAGATACAGATTTCTGCCAAGTGGAAGTTATTAGATTGAGACAAATTGTTAATATAGAACAAATCCAAATAAAAAACGCATATTCCACGAAACCAGGAATATCAGACGCAAAAAAAACACGTTTGATATCATTAGTCGAACAGAAAAAATGCGTTCCGCCATATTATCTTGATTTTTACAATAATTTGTAATGATTTAATTTAATTCTTTTTATGATTTTAGGTGTGTATTCAATAATTATCAATTAGAATAATAATGTTACAGATTACAAACATTTACTAATTTTTAATTCAAAACCGTTGCATGTATTTTTTTAACAATAAATAAACAGTTTGAAAAATCACAATTATGTCATTTAATTAAACCCGACTTAGCCTACTTATTTAAATAAAAAAGCAAAAAATTATATTAATTAATGATTATAAAATAAAAAAATAACTCCTAAAAAAACTTCCTTCTCCTGCAAAAGTAGTTTTTTCGAGTTGTAACCCTTTTCTTCCGAACGATCGATGTGTCTTTTTCAAATGAATATTGAAATGGATATTGGATATGGTATTATTGGATATAGTATTTATAGCATATTGAATATGGTATTTTTGGAATACTTATATCATTAACTGAGGATAGGAATCGGATTAGTGTGATTTGTTCACGAAATTATAGAGGCTGGCACAAACTATTTGATATGATAATTTTATTAAGTCATTTTTGACAAAACGTGGTATATAAGATTTTTAAAATGACTGATTCAAGTATAATACCCTTTGAATTGGTCGTCTTCATTAATTGTTTGTTTAACATGGAGCACTTGAAAGCTGATAAACCTTAAATTTATGGGAAAATTAAAAAGTAGAATCCTTACCTGTGAACAAAACATCTCCACCCTCTAATCTGGCTTTGGAATCTGACATTTCAATAATGGGCAGGTCTAATTCTTTCTTCAGCACTACTCGAATAGTCTCTATCTAAAAACAAATAAAAACTCGTCATATAGTGGCAGAAATGTTCAATAAAACAACAAAGTTTCTTTGATGGGTACGTAAAACTACGATTTGGAAGCCGTAAGCAAACAGACTTACCAATTCAGATTTTACTGGGTTGGAATAGGAGGATTGTATTTGGTGCTCAATATGACACTAAAAATGTTGCATGTTTCAACCTAACCTATCCTTACAATCTTCTGGAATATTTCAAACTCTTTCATCGGTTCCCATAGTTTAAGTTCAGGTTGATTATCGGAAGGATCTTCCTCTTTAGACATAAAGAGATAAATAAATAATAGTGATTTTGCCCGGCAATTGATTGTGAATCCATTGCTTTTATACTAAAGTCATATTATGAAATCCATCTACCTACAAAAGCCAGCGTACTTCTAGTGTGGTATTCATTTGTTGGGAAAGCTCGAGTTTTGTATTATATTTTTTACCGATCACCAAATTCACAGCCAATATTTTAAGATCAACAAATTATCAAAAGTGTTAAAAATTAAATTTTTAAAATAATAAACTTCTTGCATGAACAGGTTGGTCTTTTTACCTACAGATAAATATTGTCCTATCCAGATTGTTTAGATAAGCGTTAAATTTATTTTGGAACACACCACTATTTAATTAATTGTCAAAGAAATCACACTAATGTTTCAATACCTCTTTGGATTATACAATTTCTGGTGGTAGGAATAAATTATATTATGTAAAGAAAAATTTAATAACGAATAAAAAAATGATACATGTACATTAATGGTTCTTCTGAGGTTTCTCCATAACACTAAAATATTATATCAGGTTAGCTCAAACATCTTCAACTTCAGAAAGTTTCATAATGTCTTAATTTATCAATTCTTCTTCAAAATTGTCTTCATTTTGATCTCTCGCTAGGTTATAGAATGTTGCTGTAGATTACAACGGTTGAATATTTTCAAATTTACCGCCACTTCAATTGGATAAAATAATACCTAAACTTTCTCTTCCATACATAAAAAATTCTGTTACATATCTGGTTTTAATATGGAATTCATTATAGAAGTTTTCTTCATGGATTGTTTAGAGGACCCCTTAAAAATGGCTTCGCTATATAATCAGAGTCTTTAAGTAACAACCCATTTTTATTATCTTCATTTAAATTTTTTTTAATTATCAAGATTATGAAAACATTGAATAGACATAGGCGATGGTAAATGTCTAACAAATTATTTTTCGGAGATGATCAGGTAGTCGTAGCGAATGATGAGGAAGACGTGGACTACATGTTTATAAAAATTAAAGAAAGAATATGAAAAATGGGGCCTTAATATGAATATGTCAAAGACAGAGTATCTTAAAATAGGAGATGATGAAGAAGATCCAGAGTTAGAAATTATAAACACAAAAACATGCAAGGAATATAAATATCTCGGATCTATAACATCTAAAGAAGGCACTACCAAAAGAGACATCGAAAACAGAACGCAACAGGGAAAAAAAGCGGTTAACATTCTAAACTCTCTACTATGGTCTAAAGATATTAAACAAGAAACGAAATTGACAATCTATCGAAACTTGGTAGAGCCTATTATGACTTATGGGGCAGAAGTTTGGCAGATCACGAAAAAAGATACAAAAAGAATAGAAGTAGTAGAAATGGTTTTTCTAAGGAGAGCGCGTGGTGTATCCAAAAAAGATCATATCAGGAATGAAGATATTAGAAGGAGGACAAATACTGTATATTCCAGTGTAGATAGAATTGAAACGAGACAACTAGTGTGGTATGGTCACGTGAAGCGAATGAATGAAGAAAGATGGCCAAAGAAAGCTTTAAATTACATACCACAACAAAGAAGAAGAGGAAGGCCTTCAGTTGCCTGGGAAGAAAATGTACGACATATAATGAGAGATAGAGCCATGAAAGAGACGAATGGATGGACAGAAAACGATGGCGGTCGAAATGCGAGAGGCGGCAGAGGCTGTATAGGAACCTTGCTTATATATATATATATATATATATATATATATATATATATATATATATATATATATATATATATATATATATGAGAACATTGAATGCTCAAACTAAGTGACTACTTTTATTAACAACTATCTACAATATATTCTCAATATATTTCACTGTCTGTTTACTTAATCTAAACCTCTTAAAAAAATCTTTATCATTACAAAAATTTAAATGGTCGATTTTGGTTCAAATATTATATTCTCGCACTAAGATTTATCACTCGAACTTTTTAAACTAAACAAACTCTTCCGGAATAAAGGCAGAAAAACTTATTTTTTTTCCAAAAAAATGTCAAAAAATTGACAACTTTCCTCGATATTCTTCCTCAAACACTCGTTTCCTTTGTTACTGAAGTTAAACACTCGTTTCCATTGTTACTGACGTTACTTTGATTACGTCCGGCAAAATGATAGTAATACATACTAGAAAACTCTAAACAATAATGACTTTCCATAATAGAACTAATGATACATTGTATTTTCCTCAGAAAATTAAATTTATTTTTTTATTATTATTTTTATATTGATTTAATCGTATTATAAACTGGTTCACTTAACGACATCAACCTATTACTCATTTAACCACACCAAAAATATTAAAGGAAGGCACAGTTTATGGCGAACCCATCCCAATATATTCCTAACCACTCACCCTGACATAACTTTGAATAAAACACCGAAATAGATATAGGGAGACTGAGCGACAGAGAACTGAGATAATTTGGATGCTAACAAAACGACCCTTAGCTCCGAAATACTTCAAATTTTCCAAAGGACTTTTCTTACCGTAAATTTCAATATCGGTTTGTATCGGAATCTCAAATAATAAATAACTAGTCAAGTAAAGTCAGGACAAATTTATTGATCACATGCGACATTATACAAAGTACATGTATGAGTTACTATTTTGCTAACTATATTACACAATAATGGAAGAATATGCATTTTATGATAAACTTTGTTGCTGAAAAAAAAACAGAAAGGCTAAACTTAGGAAATTTGTTTATTTTGATTTAAATAATTGGAACAATTAATTTATTTATCATTAATGTTACCATTTAATTGTACAATATATCAAAATCTGTTGAAAGTTACATCAAACTTTTAATTGCATACTTGACCTTATGACGTAAAGGCCTAATTTGTTTGGTATGAAAAGATCAAAATGTAGAAATATATTATATATCAAATATATGGCCTAGGAAGACAAATTCGTTAAATTTAGCGTGCTCGAATCGATATCAATAAAGTGTTATGAACCATTTCGGCCTATCCCAGCCTCATCATACACTTGGGCTGATACAAATTCAAACTCGGAAAGTCTACCGAATGTCTCTCAAAACTTCACTATACGAGAACGATATAATAATATCGTTTTTTTGTGTCCTCTATGCTATGCGAAATGTGTAAAAGAATAAATCTTCTAGCAAAAACTGCTATCGCTTTGATGAATTAAATGGCCAAATATATGGCCTAGGAAGACAAATTCGTTAAACTTCCCGTGCTCGAATCGGTATCAATAAAGTGTTATGAATCATTTCGGCCTATCCCAGCCTCATCAGACAGGAGACATTCGTTGGACTTTCCGAGTTTGAATTTGTATCAGCCCAAGTGTCTGATGAGGCTGGGATAGGCGAAAATGATTCATAACACTTTATTGATACCGATTCAAGCACGGGAAGACGAATTTGTCTTTCTTATATTATCTATCGTCTTATATTATCGGAATTACAAAGTATGAGGTGTATAGAAGCCTTGGAGATGTGGGTTTTTCGAAGGATACTGAAGATCTCTTGGACAGAGCACCTGACCAACTAAGCTAAGAAGAATGGGTACTGAGAGAGAACTCCTAAATATTATAAAAAAACAGAAAAACGAGTTATCTAAGACATATTTACAGAGGAAAAAAATACAACTTTCTACGACTTATAATCGAAGGGAAAGTGGAAGGAAGAAGAGGTCCAGGAAGAAGAAAATGCTCCTGGTTGAATAATCTAAGAGACTGGACAGGCATGGACACACATTTGATACTAAGAACAGCTCAAGATAGAGAGCAATTTGCTGTAGTTATAGCCAATCTTCAGTAAAAAAATTGAAAGCTAAAACATACTGAAAAGGCAGTTAAGATTTAATTTAACACATAGTTCCTCTGTATATTCGCTTATATGTATTTCATCCTACCAGGGTTCATCAGAGCGACTGGTACAGAAGCTCTAAAAGTAAAATCATATCTTGTTCGTCAAGGGAAGTAATATTAAAGTAACTTTAATAAATACGCTACAGCGACATCTGAGAATAAAACCAGAAAGTAGAAATCCGAGAATTTCTTGGTTGACGAAACTAAACTTCAGATTTTTGCATAAATCTGTGCCTTCTATAAATTGCAAGGCAAAACAGATGATGAAAAGATGAAAAGAACGACATGGAGAATCTAAAAACTGCTTTCCACAACATATCTATTCATCTAAGCCAGAGCCTTTGGTGAACTTAGAATTAGCCCAATTCGAACACATTACACAACGGTACCAAATTTCTTTGTCCCGTCCAAATTCACCGCACACCAAACACTCCTCATTATCTAATGTTAGATCTACTTCATCTAGTTCATCCTCATCATAAAGATTACTCTCATTATAAGCCTCAAACTCAGAATCATCAAAGTTTTAACCCCAGCTTTCTTGCTTACAGGTCGTTTCTTTGCTTTAGTCGCCAGTTTTTTTAAGATTTCACTTTTCATATTAATTAATTATATTGTTATATTAATTATCTTATAATAATTAATATTAATAATTAATTATATATATTTATATATATATATATATATATATATATATATATATATATATATATATTGTTATGCTATTTAAATTGTATTCTATTGCTTATTTAGAAAAGATCCTGTCTATATTTATTAAATGATCTAATCTCCAATTAATCACAATAAATCAGCATTAATTAATTACAATCTCAGGCTA